GAATTGTTGAAAATTGGCAACAATAGCAACAGCAAAAATGAAWCCAGCAGTTTAACAGCGGAACTAGTGCAAACATCCACACAATCWAACAAAATTGCTGTTCCAGCCGTCACAAATAATCTATTTTCTGAAGAGCAAGGCAAAATCGGGAGGATGCAACAGCAAYTACCACAGTTATCGAAGAAAAATTTTCCCCTTGGCAAGTCGAGCTCCACATCGCAAATACCGCTAGGTGGCTGTAGCTACCAGCGCACAATTTTGCAGTCACAAGTGCCGTCGCAACAAAAGAATGATCAACAACTTATTCAGCAACACGATATTCTACGTCCGAGGAAACCACAGACATTGCAACAGCAGCAACAGGAGCAACAAACTGTCGCGCCCATACAACAACACGCCTACCCGCAACAGAAGCGCCCTTTTTTGAACTGGAACTCCTTTGCGTGCTCGGCSATAAATGTATCAACAGACCCTTTCTGGCAACACCAGCAAACGCATAAGTTGCAGCACACCGCTTCGGCTTCGAATGTAGGCAAGAAGTTACAACCAGTTATCTCTCAACAGCATCTGCATCAACGCCAACACTATCAGCAGATTGCTCAGCCTAAAGCTGCAACAGGTTTAGCGACGCCTTTGATAAAAAACAATACTAACAAAGAGAATAAATATAACAACTTGCAGCAACAACAACACACACAGTTTACGACTGGCTTCTTACCAGTACAACAGTCGCAGCAGCAGCAGCAGCAGCAGCTGCAAACGCAGCAACAGCAAACAAAATACAATTTCATGAATGCGCCACAACCACAATTTGATGGCAACGTCTTGACGCATTCGGCCTCTTTTAGCGCTGTGCAGAGACCAAGCGGAATCCAGTTGTTAGGTGGCAAGCAGCAGCCGCCGTCCGGACAATACTTCAATGGACCAAAGATGCAGCAACAGCAACAGCAACAACAACAATCCCAGCCGGCACAAGCGGAGTGCCAAATCTTGCAGAACTTCGATCCGTATTTATATCCGAAGCACAGCAACTACTCTCTCGGAAATATACAGCACAAACTCTTCCGTCATCACCAACAGCAACAGCAGCTACAGAACGGTGGCGGCGGTGGTTTTCCAACACAGCTCAATACTCAAGCGAAACAACAACGGCAGCGACAGCCAACAGGCGGTGCTTCGTATCACGGTTTTGGTTCCGCCAACGCAACTGCAGGCCCAATTCAAGTCAATCCCCTCACCCAATCAGCCTCCACTTCGGCCATGTGCTGCGACATTCACCGTCCTCTAGCCCCGATTCATGCAAGTGGTGCTGGCCACCAGCATCAGCAACAACTGCTGTTGCAGCAGCAACAAAGTAATTCAGTTATTTTAAATCAATCACACAATCAAATGTCCAAATCCGCACTAGCACTACACTATATCGAGGTAGTTTCTCTGAATTTTTAATTTTCGTTTCTGTTTCGTTTTTTGTTCTTCTGTTGCGGTTTGTTGTGGTGTTTATTGCCAATGTTAATTGTGTGTCATACTAATTTATGTACAAATCTATGTGTAAGCTGCATTGCCATCTGCTGTTCTCCTAATTACTACTAATCCGTCGCATTCCGCTGCATTGCATCCGTTTTTTGGCTTGTATCACACATATACTCGTACACACTTATATCCTCGCAGGGCTCGCTTGCTTATGTCATTCCAATTTGTTCACAGTAAAAATATTTAAATATTTGGTGTGCTGATTGCCTAAATGCATGGATGGGCACACATATTTATAATACGTACGCTTGGCAGTTTGTATGCTCGACGTGATTAGCCTCAGTAATCAGCACGCTAGCTGCGAAAAGAGCACGTGTTACTTTAACCCTTCCGCTGCCATTAAGTTTAAGCCGCTTTAAAAGCGATCACAAAGCGCACAAATGTTTTGTGCACCATCTCTACAGTGGTTTTAATTTTTTAGTTAGTGTCTGGAATGCAAACTGAAAAATACTAATCGATGAATTTCTATGAATCTCTTTGTCTATTACTTYTCACTTTTCACAATTGTCGGATAGTCTGCGGGACAAAAGATTTCTTAGAGTGTTCTACGGTAAAGATAATTGCGGGATCAAAACATATATTTGATTTACACATTCAAATTCGATATTTTATTCGTTGTGGGATCAAAATGCATTCTTAGTCCCTCATTATTAAAAATTGTTGCAAGCCGGAAGTGAAATATTCTTTATTTTCGAAAACCGTTTTTAACAGGCTCGGAAATTTTCAAATATATGACTATTAATGTCATGTGTACCTTAATGCAAAATTCGTAAGACTTTTGCATTCATACTTAGGTACATGGGTACTAAGTATTTGGCAATAAACAAAAATAGTGCGATTACTCATCGTCTTTGGTTAACCGACAGAAATGTTTATAAAATAAAGTAATAATGAAAGACGGCTATGAGTATGTGCCCATTCAGACGATTTGCTCCAACACAGCTGGTGCTGCCGATGCACTAATACTACAGTACGATTTTCGAGCTGTTGTTTTCCTTAGACAAACATGTGTATTGCGGTAGGAAAACAATCATCAAACTATTGCTTTATAAAAATTGTGCGAGCTGTGCTATTGAGGAAGACTCCTTTGCTCATTTTTCGTTTTTCCATCACTCTCTACTTTGCATTTGCTGTTTATCGGCGATGGAGAGAAGAACGAAAAGATCGCTTAGTTCAGCAGCTAATGGTGGTGGCCCCGCACAGGCATCGAATTCTAAATAATTTAGCAATTAGACACTGAAACAGATGGTTCACACACCAAAGAAGTAAACAAAAATTCATGCTCTTTCAATGTCAATTTGCGAACAGCATTTTACAGTGTACAATGTATGTACATATATAATATTAATTTGTGTGTGGTGGCTCTACTATTAAAGCATTGGATTAAATATGCAAACGTGCATAGGCAGATACATCTAGTAAAATATATATGGCTCATCCTGTGAAATATTACTTTACCAATTAATATGTATTCTGCTGCCCAGCTGCTGCCATCATAAATTTGCAAGCCATCAGAAGGTGTGTGACTTTCCATTTACCTTTGCACTGTCGCTTTATTCCACATAGTTGAATCTCCGTTGGGTCGTAATGGGTTCTCTACGTAAGTTTTGTATATAGTATTATATATAGGCGATGTACTAAGTTGCTCATACGCCCTGTGTTTCTTTGTTGAAGGTCAAAGTCTTCCCTACTACTTGCGAAATATATGTGATGATGTCCACATGTACAGCTAAATGATAATATTTATTTAAATACACGTGTATGTAAATATGTACATATGTTTGAAAAAAATTAAAAGATTAAACAGTTTTCGGAYGCCTAGGAATAGCCGTATACAGACCAAAACCTATTGCTTAAGTAAATTACATACATAAATTATTGTAAAGAATGGAGAGTGAGCATCAGCTGGTAAACTAAAAAAACTAAGGACAGCTGGAAAGCTGAATTGTCATATTATAAGCACGATAAAATCGATAGGCACAATCTAACTTGTTCCACAAAAATACAATGGCTTTGTTTTGTCGATTTTTCAAAGTGGCTTTAGCGATATATCGATACAAACYATCTATCTAACGGAGCGATAGTCGGTTAGTGGTTCTTAACTTTATGTTGCGCCCCTCTTTACTATACGAATAATATTTTAAATACAAACTCGGGCCGCCAATAATAGCCAATCGCTCTCGGATGTGGAGTTCTTGCTCTCAGACACTCAGCAATTTTCGAAAATTTGCTGTCGACTGAGAGTGTTTTCTTTCGAGCAGGCACTTAACATCTCTTAAGAGAACAATTTCCTTTCGAAAATGTGGTCTTGGCATTTTCGAAAACATTTCAACAATAAGAAAATAGCAACTACGCTAGAGCATTTTGCGGCATCTACAACGACTACGTCAACTTTGGCGTTTCATCCATAAAAAAGCAGTACGACAATACCCTCGTCGTGCATTATAGGTCGATGTAGGCGAGCTTCGCTTTGTAGCAAATTGCCGAACTTTGTGTTCGTGGCCATTTTCGAATGATGTGTTTTGAAAATTCTTATTGTTAGTGGTAATAGAGTGTCGGTTGTGACGGGTGAAACTTTATTATTTGCGTGGTGTCGACTGGATTGTAATYGTTAAAAAATTTAAAAATCAAATAAAAGAACAACAGCAACTTGGACGAATTAGAATTCTTGTTGCGAGCGATTGCAATAACTTCGCACTTCTGTTTAGAAAATACATGCAAATTCTAAAAATGAAAATAATGGAAAAATTTTATAAYATGTGCATATCAAAATAATACAAATGGCGAATAAGTATTCGTTAGTGTTCGAAAATTTCGTTCGATCAGAAACATATCAAAATCAAATGAATTATTTACGGTATTAAAAGATCCCAATTTTTCATATTCACAATATAACGATATTCTTTGAAAARCGATAAAAAATTATAAAGACTTTGAAATGTATGATTTAAAAACATGATAAATTCAAATCGGACAGTATTGACGCAAAAGCCCTACAAAAACGGAACCACTAACTTCAAGAATAGCCACAGCTACAACAACATCAGTGACATATAAGACAAGAGCCGTTTGCAAAAATAAGAAAATTTTGTCTGTCAGCGACGCGATACRTGTACATACTTACGTACTTAAGTACAAATGAAGAGCAATTTTTGCCAGGAGCAAACACCAAAAAGTGACCCAACGACTAAACGAACATTGGCAATAGTAATTATTCTTAGAAATGCAGCTATTTTTGGTGAAGCTAAATTTTTCTACAGCATAACAACAAATATTTATTAGTATTTACCAAACCCGACCGCTCAGTGAAAATAGGGAAATAAAACGAATCCCTGCGATCCCCTTCATCTATTTCGGTACAGCTCTTTGCAATTTCTTGTTGGTTGTCTTAATATTTATATAATATTTATTTGAGCATCATTGTATCAATTCTTAAAGTATACCTTTATTATTATGCAAATTCTTTGAAGAAARAACTTTTTTCTATTCTATTTCTTCACTTGTGATAACCTAAAAATAGAACTTCCTCATTTTCCATAAGGTCAAATTGTGCTTCTGCATGTCTCACGAGGGGAATGCTGCGAAATGAAAAAGAAATAAACACGGGAAAGTAGAATGTAAACAAACGCTTCGCAGAGGCATGCGTGTGTCGAATATGCAAAGTAACATTTCCAAATAAGAAATTACATTGAATTGCTCTTGTATTTTTGCTGGAGGGTACATTCGATAGGAATTAGTACGCCACATATTTCTTTTCACAGCAATTATTTGATAAAAAAACTAACTGTGGATTCATCCATTCAATGATAGGTTTTGACCCATGAGCAATGAACATACTGTGTTCTAAAAGCGCATCCTTGTCGAAATACTGTTCGCAGGGAATAGCAATAATAATAATAATGTTTCTTTTTACCGAAAGCTGAAGCATAAATGTTTCTTCGAAAGTAGAGTAAAATTGAGTTTACCGATTTAGAATAAGCGAAAGCAAAAAGAGATGAACACAATAGAAATAAAGAACTTAAACCAGCAGCAATCATAAGAACTTAGAATCGAAGGGACCGGGATCGTCGTTACAAAGAAATATAAACAGAAATAAAGAATGGCCACAACATTCTTGAATCGTTTTCATCGCGAAAAAAGTGAACGCCAAGGAATGGTGGCGGCAGATAATAACGTCAACACTAAATCGAAGAAAAAAGACAAAGAAAAAGGCAACAGTGGCGGAAAAGCTGCTGACGGCACAAATGACGTTGGGATCATGTCGGCGTCGCCCACACATTCGGCTGCTGCTTTCGCCCAGTCAACGGACATGACGAACTCAGTGATAGAAAAATCGGACGCAACAGCAACAGCAACCTCACAACAGCAGCCAGCGCGTCAGCAACGCCGCTACATACGCAGCGCCACAGCGGCGAGTGTAACGCAGCTCTTGTCGGAAAGCTACAGCAGTCTGTTACAACGGTTCCGTCGTCACCCGAGCGAGCGACCCGATAAAAGTCAAAGTCGGCAGCAGCAGCACCAGCAGCACCAAAAGCGAAATCGGTAATGTTCTGCACGAAAATGCAGCGAAGAGTGCAATGCAATTAAAATAAATTAACAAAAAATCATGACAGAAAACGACTCGCTGCTCGCTAACGATCACGTTCGTTCGTTCGGGCGTCTGATGGGCATCACTTGTGTCTGCGCCGTTAGTGCGTTATTGTCGTGGAGCGAGTGTATCCGTATCTGCCTCGTGCGGTCAGCGTTTACGTGCAGAAGTATGTATGTGTAACCGTGTACCGACGCGCGATGCCGACCTTATTGCAGAAGTTAATACGGAGAACGCGTTATGTAAATTCTGATCTTGTAATTTGGGAAAACCCAAACAATGTTCTGTTGTTGTAACTACTTTTAAACAGTTCTGATATACGGACTTTTCATTGAAACGACTAAAATAAGTCAAATAATGCTGATCTCTGTGTAGCTTCGAAAGTCGTAGTATTATAATGCATTTCAATGTTCATATATAATAAAGGCAGTTGTTAATTTGATCATCTGGCCGCCAATTGATAGAACTGCAAAATTATTGCGTGATAAATATTTAGAGACTTTCAACTTTGCGCGCTGAAGTGATCCTTTAAAAATAGCACTTTTCACTTGCACACCACGAAMACACTTTTACCATCCTTCTCTCTACACCTCTCTCTCTCTTTTTCTTCATTGTTTGAACGAATAGTATCGAAAGCTTTCAGAAGCAATCCCATCCGTCGTAGTCGCCTCTTTGTATTATTTCCGTCTCCGATTTAACTAAAATTTCTTTTGTTGCTGCTAGAGTCGGAAATTATGTATCTGACGGTGCGTCTGTTGTTCTTGATGAGTCTTAACCCAGACAAAGTTATGGTTTACAGCATGAATTTCAAACCAAATAGAAATGTACGTTTTGTGGCGTTTTAGTTCAAGGTGCGTTTCTTTTTATGAATTATAAAGTGTATTTCTTAATTTACCAAGCGCCAATGAGGAAAATAGCGTGTGATGTTGCCATTTATGTATATGCATATACATACATGTGGTATGTACCAAATAAATACACGCGCATATAATAATTAAGTATTTCTTTGTCCTGACTTTGGTCATTGCGCGTGCACCGACGATGATCTGACGCATGCGGAATCAATTAAGCWTCGAAGCGTCTGCATTTCCTGGCCAGAGCATTTTTTATTTAATTGTGTAATAAATGTCATGCGGAAATTATATACATATTATATAAACATGCGCGTACCTGACACTTATCTTATTAAGATGCATTCCGCAATAATTTCTTTCCTTCATTGTTCCAGGAAGAACTAAGAACAACGTTACGCGTAAAAATTTTATTCTTTTAGTTCCATAATATTTCTCAAGAATATATTAACATTAACATTTTAGATTGTTTAATGTTCTTAAGAGACATCCAGAAAAGAGATGAAGCACTTTCTAATACTTCCTCATATTTCAAATGTGCGTACTTTTGAATAAATCTTGATTCAAAAGAGGATTACTCCGACACCAGAATCATAATCATGTGTTTATGAGTTGAGCCAGCTCAAAATTTCGATGGTAAATAGTAATAATTTATTATTAAAGGTCATCTGACTTAAATTTACTTAAGACCTCTGACCTAATTGGTAAATATTTATTTCATTATTAATATTTCAGAATATTATTCCGCACTTTTTAACAATGCGGGGCTTTTTTCTCCAAAGATTGGAGAATGCACAGCCTTAACTTAAGCACTGCTACATTAACAAAAAAAAAAAAAAAAAAAAAAAAAATATCCAAACGACTGAGAAATTGTCAATCGCTCGTGGAAAACTCTGCGAAACGCCTGTTTCTTTAGCTTTGGTTCTTCATGTGTGCTCCCCAATACAGCTGTATTCGTAGCGGGCACACACGATTTTCACACAATATTTTTATTATTTTCTCAACACACTTATATAGACAGTATATATGTATATGTATACACACATTTGCATGCATAGGCGGGCTGAATGGTGGATCGTGAAAAAGGTGCTTGAGAATTTTCTTTCTGTGCCATTTGGTTCAGTTAATTTTCGCGTTTACGGTGCGACGTATCCGTAGTCTAGCCTCCCAAAATTGTGCGATCATTTGACGTTCGCAAGCAATAGAAAAATTCTGTAAGCAGTGCGTTTAAAGGCAAAGAATTTTCGAAGTTCAAATTATATTATATAAATGATATTGTGCATATGCATGTATGTGCCAATTATTAAGTGATGTATATAAATAATAAACTGCGTTTGGATCGAAGACGGATAAACATACTTAAATATATGTGTGTGTGTATATACGTACTTTTGGAATGAATTTTATTTCCTTCACCTAAATCTATAGACTGCATAGATTTTAGGAAATGCTCATATATAATATATGTATGTATATATAAATACGCGATGCGGTGCGATCTGTACGCCAAGACACATATGTGTTAAGTGAGTGCGCTCGGGAGACTTGCGGCAGCGGTGTCGTTTTCTGTGATGTTTAAACGAAAGACTTAGAAATTTTTAATTCACATATAAGTAAATAATAAGCATACAACAAATACATATATCCCGACAATTTTGTGTTGTATACCACAGTGATATTAAGAGTACTGCGAAAGACGAATATCGGGATACCAGTAAGACGCCAACAAACTTCGATAATAACAATTCAAAGTCGGTGAAGAGCCGCGAAAAGCTTATAGTGAATTGTGAAGCTGCTATCGACAACAGCAGCCACCGTAATTCGATGTGCGATCGTAGACGTTATTATGGCGGTGGAGGAGGAGCAGGAAGTGGCTATTATGCCGGTGGCGGAGGCACCAACACGGGCCGCTATCAGAAAAGTGCGACTGCAGTGTCCGCACTGGACCGCTTACGCTCGAACTTAAGTCCCGTTACGTCATATTATAAACCGCTGATGCGTAGCTTTGGAAGACGTGGTGACGATGATGTTAGTATCTAAAATGTGCAGTGTTGTATTTTGGAAATAGCAAGTTTTCGAATTTGTCATCTCTTTTATAAAAAACTTAATTCGATATAAATAGTTCGTTGACAATTTGTATTGGATGGCGTCTAGAGTTGATCAGCATTCAAATTTAATCGAATGATTCATTTACCATATTCCCACATGCGAAAATGCAAATGAATATTTCCAACGTCTGCAGACCAATTAATGGATGAAAGTATTTCATATTCAAAAATTCGTAATTTTTTTTACCTTCAAGAGATACATATGTATATGTATGTATATGCATCGATATATAAATGTCCATCTATGCGCATCAAGTGTACCGACTGATCGGAACGTAGCTAAGACCCCTGAAAGTTTCATCTCTGTTCTTAGATTTACTATTGAAATATTGAACTTGTTCCGGCAATGCGGTCGATATCCAACCACGTACATATCTGAATCGTAAAGAGACCGAAGCAAAAACGAAAGTCGGAGGTATTTTTTGGAAGATATCTGAGATACAGTGACGTACAAAATGACGTYTTGTTTTCCAAAGTGTGGGCTGCGTTTATTTGGAAACATTTTGTAATTATAGAAAATACATTGTTATGTTATTCTGTCGTTTATTAAATTTTTCCTCCAATCTCCGGTGTTGTCTATTATAGCCTTACATCCGTGATGGAAACTTGCAACCAAGTTTTCTGTATGTTCCTCCAGGTGTATTTGTATTTCGTATATTTTTGCTTTCGTTGAATCCCAAGCATTCTCTATCGGTTTGGTGTCTGCTGACTGCCTGCCAGTTAAAGTAACAATATGGTTTTCTTGTCTGCAGTTCTAGTCTGCTCCTGTGGACTTTTTGCAGTATCCAATCATAGTTGTCTTTACCGTAAACATTTCAGCTGACTTCAGTAAAGTCTTTTTTTAATTTTATCATTCTAACAGAGTTCTACCGGGTTTTCTGTGAGGCATCTCAAAATCCCAAATCCCTGAGCAGAGAAGCATCAGAATCTTGCAGCTTTTCTTTCTGTTCCTTCTTAACCAAACACGTCTCAAGGCGTTGAACAATACCAATGGATCATTGTTAATATTACTTTCATAACTCCAAAAACGGTTGCTGATTTCCTTCCCAATACAACCTTTTTAAACGTAAACGTGCTTCTTTGATTTGATTACAGTACTTATGCGTACGCTGTGAGATCTCTGAGGTTTATATTATAGTTAGGAAAAATCTAATCCGGTTCAAAGACACTTTTTTAGTTTTCTCAGGTGACAAAGAAAAAAAGTGTCTGCTAACTGATCGCGCAAAGGAAAAATGTTATTTTTTGAACACACTGTACGTGTAGTTTCAACGAATTCTGCCGTCTTGCTTTTCTGTTTGGGCTAAATATAAATACTATTTTTGAAATAAATGTTTATTCGCAGTTTATATTCAAGTGAATATGTATTTCTTTTTAACATTTTTGTTTTGATTTTAAAGAGATTTTGACTTTTCCTCGTGTATTTTGTGAAAAATACCTGTTTATACAAATGCCTATCCACTGTTTTGTTCTAAAAAATAGTAATTTGTACTGCTGTGTCAGCTGGTGGGACAGGTGGGTAACCATTTATTGAACCTAAGGATATGTGTCTTAAAGATGACTAAATTTGTATTTATCAGAATGAAAGGGCGACTAAAGTAACCKTTTGGTATATGTTTTGCAATTTGTGATCGATGTAGTATAATTCTTCGATATCTGCTTGTTTTTGTTCTCACACATCGCTGCCGCCCCCCTGCCACACACTTGCCTGAGGAAGGTATGGTATAGGATATATATGAGGTGTGTGCAACAACTTAGACAAATACTTTGGTAAGGTTATGTACATATGTATACTCCCTCAGTGAGGTCTGAGTTGGTGTGGCGCATCTGTGTTGGGGTATTTTACCCACACAAGTTGATCGCAATCTTATTTTTGTTAATTCGCTTGTATTCATTATATATGCGTATTTCATGAATATATGTTTGTACATATATGTATATTTTGAAGGTCGATTGGGGAACATTATATTGGCCGCGGCTGTTCTTAACTGCATAATACACGACATTTGTTCATGGGTACCTGTTCAGATGAGAAATGATGTTATTTTTAATTACATACGTATATACATGCATACATGTATTGGCATATTTTCTCTTGATGTGATTTGACAATATATACAGTTGTGTTCAAAACAATAGGAGTGCATCACAATATAAAATACAAAGTTATGTTTTTCAACAAAAACAAGAATTTTATTGATTTRTTTTTTGTCCACGAATTTTTCATTTTATGCAGTCTTTTTAAGCACAGTAAATGAAAAATTAATTGTTTACATCAAAACCTCAATAATTCGGTGTTCAAAATAATAGGAGTGCATCACAAAATTTAGTAAAACTAATATTAAATTAAAACATTGGAAATCACGACTAGTATATAAGTTAGTTTGGTTAATATTTAGTCGAGTTACCGCCATTTTTTATTACTGCGGCACATCTGTGGGACGTGGAATCGATTAGATCACTACACCTTTTCAGCGGGATTTGCTGCCATGTCTCGTGGACTGTTCTCCATAGTTCCCGGTCAGCCATGTTTGACGGTCTTAAGAGTGTATTGCAGATTTGCGGATTATATTCCGTATTTGGTGGACGACGGATATACTGCCTAGACCCTGTGCCACCAAATAAAACTACCTTACATTCCTCTGTCCACAAAATATTTTAAATTTTTCCGGTTGCCAGTTGCCATGCTCCTTGGCGAATTGGAGCCGTGCTCTAATTATATTTCTTTGTCAACAATAAACGTCTACGAACTGTTACGTCGCTAACATCAAGATCTAGACGCTTTTTTATTTCTCTAGACGACGCTTTGGGATAWTTTTTAGACGACTGGACTATGCGTCGATCTATTTCTTTAGTAGTTTTGCGTTTTCGTCCATGTGTTTCGACTTCGTTTTTGTAGAACATGGAATTTGATATCATTTGATCAGGCACCCCCGCATTTCTTTAAGTTTTTTTTTATAAGTTTTCCCGTTTTTTCTAAGATTTTTATTGATTTCACGCCTTTTGTCGTTGCAATGTTTTCCACTACCCATTAATTAAAATAAATAACTTATCCTTTTAAAAATCCCACCGTTTTTATTTTGTTGTACTTACTTTTTAGTTACCGYTAGAATACCGTTAGAAATATTTCTTGAAAAGTGTTTGATGTTCATGTTCTGATATGATAATTTTTTTTGGATTAAATATTTTTCTCAGGGGGACACCTATTATTTTGAACACAGCTGTATGTACGTACCGGCTAATCTAGTGAGAGCTTAATTGGTCTTACTGAATATTTATGTATTCATAAACATATTTTTGTTATTGTTTTACATGAAGTTTATTATCCTTCTAAATTTTGGGGACGATTTATACTTATTTTGCTATTTTCAAAATACAAACGTAACGGTATAGCACAAAATCAAAATTATTGAAAAAGAAATAATTATAATTACTTCTTCTTCGCGTACATAGAGAAAAGACACCGACAAAGACAAAACTCCCACTGCAAGTGGCACCAGCAAGCTTTCAGCCATCTCCCGTCTCGAAAACAAATATTCGGATATCCTTGATCGGCATAGGCATCACGAAGACGATCGTGACAAAACACTTGAGCCCGATGAGAACCGAAATCCTCTGTCSAAATCAGCGACTTCGCATCAGCTGTTGGGCGTTGGACGGCCAAAGTTGTCGTCAGGTTCGTTTAATGCGGTCGATCGAAAGGAACGCACACCTTACCGCCTTGGCCGAAATAGGACTAATCGGTATTTAGGGGATTCGAACGACAGCGGTTATGTAACGAGTACCAACGGCAGTACGCGGGCAGAACATACGACGCTCCTCGACGAAAATTATCCGCTAGATTATGGTGGAAGTAGATACCGGCGAAATTATGAAATGCCACGACACCATTTAGAGAACTACGAAGCGCTAAAGGCGGGTGGGGCGATGGGATACTCGCCAGGGTCTAGCCGTAGCGGTCGTGGTGCAGAATATGCCGCCGGTTACAATGCACGCAGCTACAGAAGCCGTGATGTGTATGATGATTATGGTGGTGGCGGTGGTGGAGGCAGCTCCCGCAGCAGACCTCATGCCTACGGTCGAAATAAGACCTCGGAAAATCTATTACCATCCGCTATTGAAACAGTGTCTAGCGCACATGCTTCTTTCCGTCCAGATTGTGAAGATTATGCTGTGCCGAATTCACGAAATCGGTTTGCACATCGACGCAGAGATAATATGACGCAACGTTTGCCAACACGGAGAGAAGAACTCACCGATGAAGATCGTGAGATACTTAATGATGAGCGGTCGTCTGCTGATAATGCCGCGATCCTACTGCTTCTAAAAGAAGATAATCAATATCTAGAAGCGCGGAAATTTGAGGAACGTATGCGTAGACGCAAGGAGCTACAGCAGCGTGTGTTACGTTATGCCCAAGAAGATGCTGCTGCTGCGGCAGCTGAGAAAATAAAGTTAACTAAACAGAGTGAGAAGGTAGCCGAAACTGAAATGACTGAGGCGAAAAGCTCAAAGAAAGAAGACAATGTGAACAATGAAGAGGAAGCATCGAATGCTAAAACAACGCAGAAGACAACGAACAATCACAATAAAGTAGGTAGTCCAATTCCCGATAGTGACAGTTCGTCGGAAAGTAGCTCTGAAGAATCCGATAGTAGTAGTCAGAGAGATAAAGCTATAGCCACATCTACTCCTAACACAAGTACTACACCTGCAATAACTGCTGTTAAAGACTCTCAAGACGATGCCACAGTCACTGCAGCCACAAATGCCAGTATACCAAACTCGACGTCAGCTTCTGGCTCCATTGTTACCGCACTACATGCAGATCGTAATAATAATGACCTCTCTAAGTATAGACCAACCATTGATACCAGCTCCAAATTGAACGGACTCATGCACTCATCGAGCTCTGGGGCTTTGGCATTTGGTGGCATTAGTGAACGTCTAGCTGCGGGACGCTCACAACGCTACCAACCGGTTACGTCTTCACGTACAACTGCGCTATTGGCTGATTTAGACACCCTACGCCCGACTGCAGACAGCAGCAGTAGTCGTTATCAGCAACACAAGAATGTTTTAAGCGATTCATACAAGTCGTCGTATCTTTTCGATCCATACTATTCATATGGCGGTGCTGGGGGATCTAGCTCTGCCGCCAGCCGCCGTACAGGAGCAGCCGCTGGCCTCTCATCGTCCTCGTCGGCTTATCAACGCCAGCAGATGCATGCTTACCAGCAGCAACAACTACATCAATATCAACAACACCAACACATGTTGTCGAAGAGCGCCACGAGCGCGGCACTCTTCCAGAGATCGCGCATTCCAAAAACCCTCTCAGCCTTTGTAAGCTAATTGTYGATTGTAATGTGTGTGAATTGATATTCATTAGATCGGTAGCATTCCAAGTATTCCACTTTGTTGTTCTGCCATGACGTCCGCTGTTGCTTGTTCTGTGCTTGCTTGGCTGCTGCAAACTACTGCATTGTATAGTGCTGTAATTACACGCGTATTTTATTTATTGCTTGATCCTGGCGTCTGCTTTGCACCCGATTGTGCCACCGTGTGTGTACAAAGGGAGGGAATATTCCAATTAAAGCAAACAAAATATAAAAAGCGGAACACTGGAGGTGACCACTTAAGTGTTGACGACTTGTCAAAGAAGTTTTCTGCAATTATCAAAAGTAATTAATGTTTCTCCTTCCATAGTTGGTAAATATGTACATTGAAGGCAACAAAATTGGTTAGTCTGACTGTTCTCTAAATTTGATGTGTACGCGGCGCAAAATCGCAAAATTATATTCTACCATCGCAAAGATTAAGCTAATCTTGTATTGGGGTGYAGTTATTATATACAACACTTCCTGCCTCCTGCTATTGGCTAGCAAAAGTATTTGCATGTATTTTACTTTTGGAAATAAGTCAAAAATTATACAATAAGTTAATTAACTAATTCATACTAAATTACACATTCATTATTATACTATTTATTTCGTTTGCTATTTATATTTTTTGTGTGTGTAGTCGCAGAGATCATACATGTATTGTGGCACACTGGCTAGAGAGGATGTACATACATATGTCTGTGTGCATTTTTGAAATTTTACAATGTTAAACATTTTTAATTCGGCATATTGCAAATATATGGACGGWCCCGCCGACCCCTTCATGAGTATGCGTATATGTATGTGCGAATATGCAGTTTATTTTTGGTATCTCAAGAWCGAAATCCACGAGATTGAACCATATAAGAACTCTAGTTATTTATGTTTATATTTTAATTTTATTAAAACTATAGAATTTTTATAAAAAAATTAGTTAATTTCAATAGGAGAGCTGTAGGTTGCGTTGAAAAAGAAAATCCTTCTTATTCATATACATATACATACTATATATATATAATATATCTACTATATTTACATATGTTGATCCTGTACCAGATATACAAGTGTGCTAGTAATGGATATTTATTCCATATTCTTCGCATTGATACAAATTAGCTCCCCACTTTGCAAAGATTTACTACTTTTTCAAACACTCTATAAAAATGTATACGTTTTCTTTTTTGTTTTAACTAAAGCAAGATCTTTTTCATGATAAGTTTGAGTTAATTTTCTTTTATTGTTGTGTTTGCATTAAAACTAACTAAATACGTTTCTTTACGTTTGTAATATACATTAATATTTATACTAAACACATAGAATCAAAAAATATGTTTTTTGTAATTAAAAAATAAAAAAAAAATTAAATTAAAAAAACCAAATCAAAAATTTGTCCGAACTATTTTCTTACCGAAAAAACGATACGTATTTTTCTCGTGTTTTTTTCTGATTATGATGATGATGATGATGATGATGATGATGAAAATCACTTGATGTGGGTATGATGAACGACTTGATGTTGATGATGATAATGATGATGACTTATTGATAATAATGATGATGAAATAACGAATTGGTGGTGTTGACATGTTTGCGGAAACGGCTGTACTATATACACATTGCTAATGGCATCAATGATGATAATGGTGGTGATAATACTTAAACGGTATTTGGATATGTGGTGTCTACGTGGGATGATGATCACTATTCAATGAACTCTGTTCTATGATGATGGACGAATGATTTCTTCACTGCTGCTTCATGTCAACTGTATTGCTCTCAATGGTGGCAACGGAATTCTGGTGGCGTATGCCCTTATGCATCTATACCTCTGTCTTTCTACGGGACGGTGGATTTTTTTTTTCTTTTTTTCTCTGTTTCTTTTTTCTTTTTCTCTCTTTCTCACATGTATGTTTATCCACGACTGAACCCTGTATCGTTTTGCGAACCGGCCAACCAATCAACCATCAACCAACAAATCAAAMAATCGACCTCCTGCGCAACTCCTGCGGACTTCGTTTACTCTACCATACACCACCAACGAACGAATTCAACTTGTATCAATCAATCAACCGCGCCGCCACAACAACCTGACCAACTATCGATGGTCAACAACGCCACCACCATCACCACCACGACTAACAAACAAACCACTGCCCAAACACTTGCTGACGTTACCAATAATCTGCTCCAACCGAATCTCGAACTTGGTGCATTCTGTTGCGATCCGCTCACTTAACTCACTCACACACAGACAGCAAAGCCCGTCATACAAGATGATGCTGATGGCCACTTGATATATCACAACGGCGATATACTTCTTCACAGATGTTCGTGGCAACTTTTTGTTTTCTTTCCTTTTTATATCTAATACATGAAAATACATAATTACAAATAATTACAAAAGAGAACCCTACAAAAGTATTCAAAAGTATTCCAGCTAGAATTATATTTAACACGATGCAATTGCAGTTTAGAGATGATAGGATCGCCAAAAATAAAAACATTATTTTAATGAAATAGTTGAAATACGAACGTACTTGTGTACGCATGAGTATACCAACATCCATAGTAATACTCTAAAATGTTGTTTTTATTTTTGTCCATGAAAAGATGTATAAATATGTACATATGTATTCGATGAAACGATTTCTTAGATGTTCGAACGCGGTCTCTGAACTGTTATCCAGCCTTCATTTCAGTTTTTTTTTAGTTCTTTTTCTAATAACATTCTCCTGTTTATAGAGACCACCGCTAACGGTTTCCTTTCATTTATTACTTATGATTTGGGCCCATCTCAAAATAATAAGTGCAATGTTTTATTTGCATTTCGAAGTYTCTAATTTCCTTGGTTAAAGTAGCACTTTTGTAACATTTCAACTGTTAAACGCGACCAGATTCTTTAAATGTTTTCTTTTTCGTAAAWACTTAAGTAAGCTGGAGCTCAAATCAAATTCAAATTAAAAACTATTTCGTAATGAGAAAAGTCAGGCGACTATGTCTTAACCACAGTAGTTTAGGTAGCGAGAAAAATATAAAGAAGAAACTAAAACTAAAACAATTTCTGCACGCATTTTGGGCATTCGAAGTTCTACTAGATTTACAATGTTGTCCTTTTTGCGAATTTTCAGATAAGATTATGGCTACACTGGGCGAGGGTACGTTCGGACGAGTCGTGAAGGTCAAGGATATGGAGAGGTATGTTGAATAGATTTGAATATTTTGTAGGTAGCTAAGGATGTACATATTTTAACATATTTCACAACAAAATATTAGGGACTTTTGTATGGCCTTAAAGATTATCAAAAACGTGGAGAAATATCGTGAAGCTGCGAAGCTGGAAATAAACGCTTTGGAAAAGATCGCTCAAAAAGATCCACATTGCGAACAGTAAGGACAACTTATTTACATGTGACTATATATTAAAATGCGACATTTTTATTTTCACTTTGTTATAGTTTGTGTGTGAAAATGATTGATTGGTTCGATTACCATGGCCACATGTGCATCGTTTTTGAGATGTTGGGTTTAAGTGTGTTCGATTTTTTGGTAAGCTTCCTTCTTATTAACCTTCCTTTCAATTAATTTTATAATAACATTTAAAATTTATTTATAGCGCGAGAACAACTATGAGCCATATCCATTAGAACAAGTACGGCACATGGCCTATCAATTATGCTATTCAGTAAAATTTCTACACGAAAATCGCTTAACGCACACTGATCTCAAACCTGAAAATATTCTCTTCGTCGATTCGGAGTATACGACGCATTATAATCACAAAATTGTAAGTTATAAGGTTTGGTGTATTTGACATCTTATAATGCGGTTTGTTCAGAAAGTAATTTCGCGGGTTTTGGAGAGTCCAATTGTCCAAATTTGTTTTTGCCTGTGTTGATATTCTACTTGCCCCTGAAGGCGAATCGGCTTGGTTTGCTGGCTTAGTTCTGTTACCTCTTGCAATCTAAATTATACAAAATAACAACTTTTGTTATTCTGCATTATCGAGACTTTCTTTGTTCGATTTTAATAAAGTAATATTGTGTACAACGCAAAAGTCGTTTGTTTMAATATACATATTTATATATTGTATATTTTTATTTATTTTTAGAATCGCGAAGTGCGTCGCGTTAAAAATACCGATGTTCGCCTCATTGATTTCGGTTCGGCAACATTTGATCATGAGCATCATAGCACAATTGTTTCTACACGTCACTATCGTGCACCGGAGGTCATTCTTGAGTTAGGCTGGTCGCAGCCCTGTGACGTTTGGTCTATTGGGTACGTGCAAGAAGAATCTTATATCTCAATATTTTAAGAAAATATGTGCATATATGTGCTTAGATTTGTTTTTCTTTTTTTTTTAATTTTTTAATATGAAATTACTTTCCTCTTTTATAGCTGTATTCTTTTCGAGTTGTACCTAGGCATAACACTCTTCCAAACSCACGACAATCGTGAGCATCTAGCGATGATGGAGCGCATCCTTGGTCAAATACCATATCGTATGGCACGGTAATGCAAAGCTAAACATGTTTACATATTTATTCGAACGGTCCACTTCATGAAATTCGATTAATGTATAGAAATCATTGCCATTACAGCAAAACAAAAACGAAATACTTTTATCACGGTAAGTTAGACTGGGATGAGAAGTCTTCGGCTGGTCGTTATGTGCGCGATCATTGCAAGCCACTATTCAGATATCAAATGAGTGACACGGAAGATCACTGCGAACTTTTTGATCTAATCAAGAAAATGTTGGAATACGAACCATCTCAGCGGGTGACGTTAGGTAAGTAGAAGCACCAAGTTCAGTGCGTCAAGCCTGCTCCAATGAAAATATATGTGCATATACATATCGTCAACTGAATGCAAAATGACGTATCATCAAAAAATTCGAAGTTGAGTGTCTTATTGATTACGTTTCACAACTTTAAATTACATAATATACATATGTTCAAGATTTTCAGGTTCTGCGGTCAAAAATAAATCAGTTTTAACCAATATTAAAATTTTGTTTCACTCATGTGTTCCATTTTATTTCGTGTTTCATCCATGCCACTGTAAATTTCCGAAAATGTTACGTTATTTTGCATTTCAGGTGACGATATGTATGTTGTTATTGTTACAGAATTTGGTATTTAAATTGCGTTCAAAAGGTGTTTGCAAGTGTTTTTGCTTTGAAAAATTATTCAGAAAAATCTAGAATAGATAAAGATCCTTTTATAGAACATTAGAACCACTTTTAGAAACGTCAACAATCAGACAGCTTATTATAAAATGAACCGAAGAAAATTTAGGTTTCGTTTATTTAATCTACAAAACAAAACAGTGTATGGATGACAAAATTTTTGAAAACTAAGGAGTGAAGTGTAAAATTAATACAATCTGACTTGTTTAAATAAATTCTCTTGACATCTGCATAAAATTGTTTTAAAGCTTTCACTCTTTCGGAGTGTTTCAAAATTACTTATGGTAGTAATTTCTTAAATTTGGAATCATGATTAAATATTCAATGGGTATTAAATTATTATCACTTCGTGTGGCTCAACAAGAGAAAATGTTCCCATGGGCCACAGGCTATTTTTTATTTGTAAGGATATTTTTGCTAATGTGAACGTAAACCGATAAAACTGAGTAGTATATATAGATTATTGCAATACGTAAATCTATGCAATTTTAAATGAATTATAATACTCCGATATATTCAAGTAATGTTAACCAATACTTGTCTTAATAAAAACGAATATGATGTGGACTAGAACGTAGATAGGTGTGAATATGTGGGATTTGAGTTGCGAAATTAAAATCTGTAAAATAGAACTAAAAGCTCGGTTTAAATTGATTTATTTTTTATTTATAATTCTCTGACGACACAAGTGCTAATATATTTCGTTTGCTTTCATCCTATCTAGGTGATGCGCTTCGCCATCCGTTCTTCGATAAGCTCCCACCGCACCAACGCGTTGGTGAAATCGGCAATATAAAACAGGCGATTTCTTCGGGCAGCAGCAGCAGCCGCGAACGTTCGCATAGTTTGTCAAGATGAGATTTGGCGCGATTTGGTTATTGTTAATTAAAATTAGAACTGCTACAGTAAACGACATAGAAGTAGGAGGAAAACATATGGACACCCGACAACAAACAGATGTAATACAATGAAATAAACGAAAAGCAAGCATTGGAATTAGGCGCGYGCTCAGCACATAACAGGTGATGACGACAACGGTGCAGCGCAACGACAACGATGCCATAGAAAAYATAGCATAGGAAAAGAAAATCATCACCACACTTAGAAGAACACCTAAACCCGATTGGTCGAAGTCCAATCATCAGCATACAGCAATTTTGTAGTAACATAAGAACGAGCAGCAGAACGTAAGAGGAGAAAAGCATAAATAGTTTAAGATACAATACTAAATACTAGTAAAGCTACTTTTTATAAAAGAATCTTGGTATTTGCAGTAAAGGCGCAGAAAAGTGGTTTCCACACATACACACACACAGACACAAACATATGCACACATTCTGCGAAAATGTCTTATTGAAACCTTTGCGACAATTAATTCCTCTAACTTGTAATTAATTACCCATGTACTTTGTATCGCTATAGATGCATTCATCATGCGTATATGATTGATTTTATATTCTTACATACATACATACATACATATATATTTTGTATTTTCCACTAATTCATATTTCTGTGAGAGTTTCAATGAAATGTATTAGTGTTTTTTGGGCAAGGTGTGCAAGATATGTGCGTGTGCACAAAGCGATCACCCACAAAAAATTAACGTAAAAAAGCTAATTAGTAACTATAGCCAATAGTAATTCGAAAGTTTTTTTAAGCTTTTATCTTCGTTTCTAATAAATCTAAAATAATCATGCCTCTGTGAGTTTATTTGCTCTACAACCAGCTCGATTCGTCAATCAAAGTAAAGTGTTGTATGTTATTTGTTCGAAGAAGTGGACATTTCTTGTTTTTTTTTGTTTTTTTTTTTTTTTTTGTTTTTTAAAGAAATTCAGGATAATTTTGCAAATGAGCTAAACTTGTAACAAAGTTGGTTGGACATGTGTGATATGCGTCTCAGCGCAAATTACAATCGAGACACGAAGCATGTGATTTTGTATAAACGAAGCCAACATTATTAGATATAAATATATAGCGCAAAACATTGCTTGTCGTACAGTGTCTCATCCCGTTTACGTGGTTCCATGTTGTAGTTATAATTAAGAATAACCAAATCCAGAGTCGTTTGTCGTCGAAGAAAGAAAAAAGAATCCGATTTCATTTTTGTTCCCTTATATGTATTGTAATGTAAATGTACATATACATATACATAATTGATAAAAGCTTCCGATTAAATTAAACAAAATACGAAGAGAAACGGTTGTACACATACACAAGAGYGAGCTTTATTTGAGCATACTAATGAGTTAATTTGCTTTCATTGTTTTCATTAACACTTTGCTTCTCTCTCTAACTTGTCGGTATGTGAAAACGCTGCGGGCTAGTTGCGTATGTGTGCAAAAGTCTAGAAAAAAGAGAGGTGACAATTATTGGATCAGACGCGCACACATAAATGATGTGCGATTTTATATGAATACATACATATAAACGTATGTAAATTTATTGATCATTAATGTTTTTTTTTTGCTTTGACGTAAGCGAACGTTCTTAGTTTTTCAGCTGACTGCATGGGCAATTATTAGGATTGCTTTCCCCTGCAGAGCCTCAAATTGAGATAATTGCATTGAGTGAGCCTTAAATTAGATCGTGCCCATGTTTTCTTCTTTTTTATGGAAATAATCCACTTAAACTTAAGTTCAAAACAGAGCGTGTGTTCAATATTGGATTTTTATATAAAATATGTATAAATAAATCTACTTTTATGTTAAAMAAACTATCAGAACTGAGCGTACAGAGTAATCTAGTGAAATATAATGCTAAGAAAGTAAAAAGTGTTACAATTATTGAAAAATGAATGAATATTTAAGTAACTGGATTGCAATTAATTAAAAATCGCTTGTATTTCAAAGGGATCTTATCGAGTCAAATGTTATCATATGACATGTAAATAAACTAAAGTATAGAACCGCAAAGAATAATATAAATCATATTAAACAAGTTGATTTGATTGAATTTTTGTAGAAATTAAATATAACTTTGTCGAAACAATATGCGAATTCCAATCCAAGCAATCTTTTGAACTTTTGAACGCGGTAAAAATGTCAGTATATGTACATAAAATGTCTTTTGCAGTTTTGTAAATAGCAAAAACARAAAAAAAAGTGGAGCAAATCATGAACCGTGCATCATTCAGCCAAAGGAAAGCGCAAATAACCACTCTTACACATACACACTGGTCGCTTCTAATTTAGTGAGTTTGTTTGTTTGTAATTTCTACTGCTTAAAATGCAATTAAGTCATAAACAATTGATACACCGACCAAACGAAACTGTGCAACCGTTCAAGTCCAAAATCTAAAATAACTACACATACTGTTATGTGGTGGCAGTAATTTAATGATAAAATGATTACGTTATGGAATTCGGATGGATATGACCATGTACAAACATCCAAATTGAATTCTGTTCGGTTATTTATTTCCGTTTGATTTTAGTTTTTAGCTACGTTTTAATTCATACATACATTGAATATTGTCCATAAACACATACACACACACACACAGTTAAATATACTATATAATGTACTAAATAATACGTAAAATATATATTATTACAATTTATGATTATAAAATGAAAAACTATTAAAAAATAAAGAATTGACTATGAATAATTGTGTGTGTCCTTTTTATTTATTTTCGAAATGTCTTGATGTTTGTATTCGTAATTGAAACTACCGGAAAAATATAACGTTGTAGTTGAATCATTTGTTAAGGAATAACGCGAACGCAGAAAGGGGAAAATAAAATAAAAGATGGTTGGAAAGGTGATCATCCTTTTTTGGGGACATTGCAGTCTGCTTTGGAATATTTGCTCTTTTCGAAAAGCATGTCTTTGAAATGCTGATTTCGTTTGTTTTCCATATTATAACGTCTAAAAATGTCACACCTATTCTCTAGTGCTGTTGTAATGTCTTCACAGTCTTTTGAGGGGCCCATAATTGTCCAGGACCCAAAAATTGTATCAATTCCCCCACAGACACGACAATAACCTGTAAGCCAAGTGCCTTAGCTATGAAAGCCGCATTATTCAGTGGTCAGCAATAAAAGGTATACCTATGAAAGTGGCCACTGTACTCAGTTCGCGATTTTGCGAGTAAAGATAAAAGGGGCCACCTTGTTGGTTTAGTGCGCTGCCCATAAACTTCCAACTAGTTTCAATAATATGATGAGCATGCGGTGGGATGCGTTCGCCTACATCCACGGTTARGAGTTTATTGTTCTTCTCAGCTGTGCCTAATCGCCGGTCTGCCGCACGCGTCAAAGTAATATCGAAACGTAAACCCATTTGGTAGGAGTTCCAAGAGCCAACAACATCACATGGCATACCTTGATGTGGAAATATTCAGTCTTATAAATATAATTTGAATGACCCTTTTTACCATCTGGTTCGCAGCTATCATCTATTGGTTCTGGGGGTGGCGCTTTACAAGATTGGATATATTCCAGTTTGCTTAGAACCTTGTCAAGTACACCAGCTATGCGGGCAGCCTCGACGTCACTGGATTGGTATGAAGTTGAAGATTTCCCAACTGCCTTGACGGGCAACTGATCTTCAGCTTGCGGGGGTGCCACAGTAGGTGTAATTGCAGAGGGAGACGCTGAATTTACCGTGGTTGGACCGGAAGCGGGAGCTATACTGGCTGCAAGTGCAGGGATTCCACCGACTGGATTATCCTGAGTCATTAATGGTGCTGGCACCCCGGATTGGTCGAGTCCCACTAGAGGTAAGCCTGAGACCACAGAAACCTCGTTTAGTGGAGCTTTCTTTCTTATCGGGGTTTGGTTTAACTTATTAACTAAAACGAATAGTATTCATTATATCCGACCTTATATACATATGTTCGTGTCACATTTGTATACATATAAAAATTATTTACTCTTACCGCTCAAGTCTATGAATTTTTGCATTTCTTCCCCCAATTGCGGGTCTTTTTTCGCMACATAATCCAATGGATTGGACATGGCCGCCAACTTTTTAGCCAACTCTAGTGTCGTCATATTCATTTTTGAAGCGACCGTCGCCAGCAGATTTTTGGGCGCTGTATTACTCAGAAGTCCCAAATTTGTGTCTACAGATTTAGTTAGCACAGCTGGATAAGAAGCACCGGCTGCTGTGCCGACACCACTTGTCGTGCCTGTCATGAAGTTTAATGTATCAGCACCGAAGATCGTCGCACCTAATTCGGTAGCACCCAGACTGCGTTTGTTCTCCTCCTTGCCTATATTGTCAATGGCTTTGTCAATCTTCAATAGAGTAGTTGATCCTTCGAAACTCCCAGACATTATTTTCGCGTCTTCCGCCTKCACCGCCGCCACTAATCTCTGCAACGTTGGTGACGTAAGATCGTATTCMCTAAGTTCTCCATATGTGCGACAGATCCGCTCATTGCTCTTCTTGTACAATTCCCGAGTCAGCTCATCTAACTTTTTCTTATATTCGTCATAAAAACTCCGCTCGACAGCTTTGTCAGAATCAATTTTTTTTTGTATTGTCTCTCGTTTGGGCGTTGTAACAGCTGGCAAACCGGAAGAACCATATTCACCTCGCTTAAAGACTTTTTCGCCATCCAGTCGCAGATCATCCCCGAGGTTATCGAGACGTTTTTTGTATTCAYCATATAAGTTTTCTGTCACTGGTGTACGTGTTCTGCCATCGTCATGATGGGTGCAAACTACGTTCCCGCTTGTACGCTTAATTGCTTTAGTTGGTTCCATAAATTCATTATTGAATTTGTCCAGACGCCGTTTGAATTCCTCGTAAAGACAATTACTTACTGCAGACCTCTTCTTCGGTTTGTCATTTTCAATTTCGACCTGCGGTGGAGGCTGAGTAACCGCCGGCGTGTTAACATTGTTGTACAATTCTCGAAAGACTTGATTTAACCGCTTTTTAAACACATCGTACAAATCACCATTGTATCCCAACTCTGATTCCTCACTTGACCGGTCGGTTTGACTGGGTGACGTTGGTACAGTCGGTAATTTAAACTTGTTGGAATGAGCGAATTTGATTGGCAAGCTTAGGTCATTGGCTTCCATCTCGTTTTTGTCTTGCGCCTTACTGATTTCTTTCGTATTGGCATTCTGATTAGCTTTATCATCCATCACTTTTTCCTCCTTTGGTTTAGATTTATTTATCAGAAAAATCTTGCCAATTGGTTTATGTTGAGCTACATGGTTGGTGGTCTCATTACCTTGATTAGTTCGATGAATTTGTTTTCCTTTGTCCTCGTCCTTTTTCATCACTTGTTGCGTCTTCTTACATTTWCCGATAACCAGAATGTGAAAATGCATCAATATGAGAATTAAGCAAAAAATTTTAATAAAATTCATTGCAACTCTATTTTCCCGTTTCAATATTGATTTGTTCACACCAAGTTTTCATATTTCCCTCTTCAAATAAACATGCGTATATACATACATACGTACAGAATTGGCTCAGAAAATCTAATTTTATTTATATTCAATTTCAACGTAAATACATAACGTACATAATCATCGATAATGTACCTTAGGTGAGCCAAAGTACCGGAAATAGTTCGTTCCAAATTTGAAATCGCTGTTTGAAAATTCCACCCTCAATTTCCAAGTCTTTCCCAATTACTACGAAAAGTTTTTATCCTCAGCATTAAGAGGCCGTTTTTCAGATTCACATCATTTACATTAGTGGGATCTCTAAAAATAAGTACAATATTTACATGATACATTTCAAATTATAGTATACGCCCCCTTTTTGATAAGTATAATAAGATTTTAAAGGAGTGAGGGAAGTCACTGCCTTTTCATACCGGTTGTATTTTGTTTATTTAAYCTGCCAGATTCTTTCTATAGTGAGATTTGAGTTTTGCGACATTTTATCTTATTCGTGAATTGGTGAATTCCCTCCACATGCGATTTAAATTTTCAATAACTATKTACATTTTCGGGATCTGCCTTTTTTAAGAGCGGTATTTCGTCGAGTACATGCAAGAGGTATATAAATGTGCATTTATTTGAATGAGATCTTTGGAGTTTGCATCAAAGATTGGGTCGGAGACGTGAAACTTCTTTTCACTAACTTTGCTAGTATAATTAAAATGAATATAGCGATCCTTATAGTTAAAGAGGTAAGAGGGGATATTCGAAGCCAATAATCCTGTCAGAACAAAGATTCCCGAAAGAGCCTAAAGTGTTCGGCAACTGTAAGGTGGRTTCCTGGAACGTAACGTTCATACATTAGTACGACGGGTGCATATTTTTCAAATTTCTCATTCAACCATCTTTTTGTGGTTTAATTTTTTAGTATATCTCATATGTGTTACGCGGTAAGTGATGGATTTTTTTTTTTTAATTTTAAAATATTGTTTACAATAGGTTCCGTCGGCAAAGTCAGATTATAATTCGAACTCTGGAAATTAGGACTTTGTATGCTTTTATAAGGGTTATTCAGTAAGAAGCGTTCTTGTCAAACATTTTTCTCGATGACTGGCAAGCATTTCAGCCGGGGTAATCACAAATTCCATCATTGATTTCTTAATTATTAAACAAGAGACAGTCCATTTTTTATATATATACATAAATATGTTTTTTTTTGATAAACAATATTGTTAAAAACTGTACCAAAAGCTTGTCAACCTTCTTGAGGCATTTCACTAAATCGGAGGAAGGCTCTTTGGGACAAATCAACAATTCCGCTTGTGTATCACTGRAACTTTTCTGCATCTAATGTCGGCATGGAATAATCCTTTTGACATGGGAAACATCAAATGTAAGCCAACAATACCGGCGCTGTTACCGAATAGTGTTACTGAATTAGGATCGCCACCGAAGTTAATAAGATYATGGTTTGGGGTTTAAAGGTATCTTTCCCAAAGTAGTTTTCATTTGAATTGCAATACCGCATTCTCATGCGGTTACATGAAGGAAATGCCAATTATTTTAATTTCGAACTGTTAGTGTCGATTTACGACTTTGACCTCACCAAAGCGCGCCTTGTCGAGTTATTTCCAGATATGTGTCCCCACGAGTGAACTGTGACTGCGATTGCGGGAAATGTACATACTTATTTACTTTTTTTTATAGGAGACAATGCTTTTGCAGTGAGGATTTTGTAGTCTCGATRGGAGTCGTCATTTCTACTAAAAAAGGTATACCCATTATTTTGCGAAGAACTTTATTATGACAGGCTTGAATCAGCTAACCTTCCCCATACGACCGGGTAGATCTAAGTATAGCTTTATATATGAATAGGTTGTTCTTCAAACTGAGACTGTATTGTACTCAAACCTATGTACCTTACTTTCGTAAAGCACGTAAAATATACATTTCACAGCTTTAAAATGATCCAAAAAAGAATGGAAAGGGTTATTCGGGACGGGACTCACAAAGTATGGTATTTTGTTAGTTGTTGACCAAATAGCAAAGGCGGTGACTGTCCCAGACATGGTGCACGCCTGTTGCAGAGCAGATCTGTAAAATTTACTTTCTAGCATAGTGTAGTTCAGACCGTACAAAGAGTACTGCGTTAGCTTTGAACGGACTCAATTTCCTGCAGGGTATGCATGCAACAACCTACATATTAGACATTTCCTAAGTAGGTACGATTGCATATACGTATGCATGTACATATGTACATATCGTCACYTGAAATGCAAAATAACGTAACAACATTTTTTTGCAATATTGCCGAGAAATCCTAGTGTGAATTGATGTATTTCGTGTGCTAACAAATATATCATGCCTGGGATATAAGCACGGTATAACTTCGTCTTCATCTCCTTGCAAAGARATCTYTAGRCCATCTGCCCATAATTATCTCGATCGCGCAACCTGAGGATTTCGTTTCTGTGGACACCGTACYTTCGTTAACTTTAACAAATCCAACTGGGTCGGCTTCACAGAATTTACTGAGAGCACCTTCAACGCTCTACCCATTCCTACGGACGAATGCGTTGGCGAACGTCAATTCCGCAAGGTGATCGCAGCAGCTACCGCTCGCTTCATCCCAGCTGGACGAATAGCGGAAATCCGCCCCAACTTCCCAGCCGAAGCAGCCGTTTTAGCTAATGAGCGCGACACCTTACGCCATGCCGATCCCGRGGATTCCCGAATAARGGATYTCAATTTGGAGATTCGGCGTATGATAARCCACTATGTATAAGCGGCCAAAATGGATAGAGCACCTGAAGTGCTCCAACCTCTCCACCGGTGTGAGTAAGCTTTGGGCTACTGTCAAAGSTTTGTCTAATCCGAAGAGACATGACGACCGAGTTGAAGTTCAATTCAATGATCATGCCTCTTCGGACCMGAAGAAGTGCGCGAGCTATTTTAGCCGTCAGTTTACACTGCACCCTTCGGTAGACATAGCCAAACGATGTGTTAACCGACTGCTGCGCAAAATTCCAAACGACGGCGCGCCACTTACTTTCACCGATGAGAAGGTTCAGGGTGTCATCAACAAAGCCAAATTCTTATAAATCCATTGGCCCTGATGGAATCAACATGCTAATGCTAAAGCATCTAGGCTCGACGGGAGTAAGATATCTCACCAAGGTCCTCAACCTGTCGCTGACCACTCTTCAAATACCCGATGTGTGGAAAGTCGGAAGAGTGGTCCCACTACTGAAACCTGGGAAACCCGCCAACAAAGGAGACTCTTATCGACCGATAACTCTCCTCTCCCCAGTAGTGAAGATACTTGAGGGCTTGTTATTCCCACCCTTCACTCACCACCTGAGCCTAGCCAGCCACCAGCATGGATTCCGAAAAGTGCACAGTACCACCACAGCACTTAGCGTCATAAACGCTCAGATAGTTCGTGGCCTCAATCAGAAACCACCCTGTGAGAGAACGATCCTCGTAGCGTTGGACCTGTCAAAAGCTCTTGACACGGTCAACCACACAACGCTACTGCAGGACATCGAGAAAACCACGCTTCCTCCAGGGCTCAAGAGGTGGACCATGAACTATCTGAACGGTCGTCAGTCATCCGGACTATTTCGAGGTGCAACATCTAAACTGAGAAGAATTAAACAGGGGGTTCCGCAGGGTGGTGTTCTCTCCCCGCTACTGTTTAACTTCTACATCTCGAAACTCCCGCAACCACCAGAGGGGGTTTCCATAACCTCGTACGCAGATGACTGTACGATATTGATGTGGGGSWAWGGAATCGATGGCATGTGTTCGAAGGTAAACAACTACCTCACCTATCTTTCTCGTTTCCTCACTGCMCGGAACCTCCAACTTTCCCCCACCAAATCCACAGCGACCATATTCACGAAYTGGACGAAGGAGTATCGACTGGAACTTAATATTGCAGTCGACGGCGTCAAAATTCCGACTGTCAATAACCCTAAGATTTTAGGTGTCACCTTCCRCGATTATCGCCAAAGTACAGAGCCGCAACAAAATCGTCAAGTCGCTAGCCGGCAGCACATGGAGAAAAGACAAAGAAACTTTGTTGGTAACTTACAAAACCTATACGAAAACCGACCCCGTCGAAACAACATAGGGCCTGCCGTAAGATGATGTCGACGGCGAAGCTTTATTTAACTTTAAATCGGACCTAGGCAATCTCTGTACAATTTATATCCTTATATAAATTTCTATATACATATATAATATATCTTTATATAGATTTCTATGTACATATATAATATATCTTTATATAGATATGATATTTATTACAACAAAACTGTCAAATGTTTGCGAGATTATGTTTTATTGTTATTAATCAATACCAAATAATTGCTTCGTTATCTTACACAATTGGAATAAACGTTCTAATCCGGTTTTCACACCTCCTTCTATACGTATACACACACACGCACTACCTAAGTGGCAATCAGACAAGAAAATTCAATGTTAAATTGTCCAAGGTTTTTCATATTATTAAATGAAGCCCATATTAATGAACATACATCCATACATATGTATGATTTTTAATCTTCAAAAAACTGAGATTGCATACATATTGTATAATTTTTCGTAGCAAGAACGCCGATAAATTGCCACATTGGTTCTTAAAAACTTTCCATTGATAACACATGAGGGAAATTTAAAGGTATATTTTTTTATTAAAAATATTTCAATATTGTCCAATTAGAAGTTCGCTATATATAGAAACATGTCAAAATAATATATTTATCAGCATTTGCATTTTTTTATTAAAAATATTTCAATATTGTCCAATTAGAAGTTCGCTATATATAGAAACATGTCAAAATAATATATTTATCAGCATTTGCATTCTGCGGCTCCACTCCTTAGTGGCGCTTATGACTAGTATTGACCCCTAAAAATTTAATACAAATAGAAATATAAATAAAACCACAAGCAAATGATTATCGCAGGTCTGTGTTGTTTTTATTGTACACAAGTATGGGTATGTAATAAAGTCCCACAAACGCACCAGAATATAAAAATTATTGATAACAAATAGGGGGCTTGGCTACTGGTGAACGTGACCCATGTTCGATGGCATTCTACATTCAACTCGCTGAATAATTAGCTAAGCTTATATGTATATATGTACGTTAATTGTTCGTTAAAGAGATTCTAATACACATTGAGTAAATTGTAATTTATAATTGCTTAATACATTCAATATATTCGTAATATTCCAGTATTCATGGAATAAAATAAATGATTTATAACCACAAAATATTTATATATTTTTAGTTTTTAACTGCCATTCGAGATTCGCTTAGTTTCATTTAAAGAGAAATATCATGAGTTATTTAATTAGTCGTTTTGTTCATATAAGGATAGTATATATCTGGTATTGGTACGAAGGTCTCTTTTACAGCTTGCAATGAAGCGAAACGCATCAGATAAAATGGACAACCTGCTTTATCGTTAGTGCCGGACTGTCGCGCCCCACCGAAAGGCTGCTGCCCAACGACAGCTCCTGTGGACTTATCATTAATGTAAAAATTGCCAGCAGCATCTTTTAACTCATTTAAAGCTTGTTTTAARAATGGTTCATCTGTAGCAAAAACGCTGCCAGTTAACGCATATTGAGTTGTATTTCTAACCAAATCTAACGCTTTATCTAAATCGCTGTCTTTATAAACATACACTGATAATACTGGTCCAAATATTTCATCTGTTATTACACGCTTATTAGGATTTTTCACCTGTACAATAGTTGGTTCCACGAAGAAGCCTTTCAAATTGGATAAATTTCCACCTGTCAAAATAGTGCAATCGGGATCCTCTTTGGCTTCATTAATAAACCCAAGAATACGTTGAAATGAGTTTTCATCAATAACCGCCGAATAGAAACTGTCTACTTCACGAACATCGCCTACTTTCAAATTCTTAGTCTTCTTAATGAGTGGTCCTTTAAATTGGGACTCCCAAAGCGATTCTGGTACATATAATCGAGAACATGCGGAGCACTTCTGTCCGCCATACTCGAAAGCAGAGCGAATAGTTTGCGCAACTGCAGTCTCCACATTCGCTGATGGATGAATGAAGTGGAAATTCTTACCTCCGCATTCACCTATTAAACGTGGATAGTTCTTGTACTGATCAATTTTATTACCCACCAGTTTCCAAAGGGTTTTGAAGGTCGCTGTGGAACCAGTAAAATTGATACCAGCCAAATCGGGGGAATTAGTAATCGCATCACCGAAATTTTTGCCTATGGAATATAATATAAATATTATATACACATAAACTTACAAGTATGCGYACACATATGCAGCTAAGTTAATATATATTAGTTTTAAAATTGTTAATTACCAATAGCAGGAACAAAGTTTACTACTCCATCCGGTACACCGGCTTCCCTCATTATTTTGAATACCGTCCAGTTGGAGAGCATTGCCGTGTCTGAAGGCTTCCATAASACACTACAGCCCATCAAAGCAGGTGTAAACGCTAAATTACCACCGATTGCGGTGAAATTAAATGGTGTAATTGCTGCAACAAATCCCTCCAAGCCTCGAATACGTAAATGRTTTTTGGTTATGCCTGGCTGAGGACTTAGAGGTTGTTCCATGGCCAAATTTTTYAAGTAACCGGCATTCATCCTGGTAAAATCTATCAATTCAGCACCAGAATCAATTTCAGCCTGTATTACTGTTTTTGATTGCCCCAACATTGTAGTGGCTAACAATTCAGCACGATACTTTTTGGCCATAAGATCAGCAGCACGTTCCCAAATTTCAATGCGTTTTTTAAGAGGGGTTTTATCCCAMTCCTTTTGTTTCTGCACTGAGACACGTATAGCTTCTTCAATAGTAGCATTGTCAGCATAGTAATATTTTGCAAGCTTGTGATTCTTGTTATGTGGCATAACTTGGAACGTCTCTTGTCCCTCTCTTATCTCTTTTCCGTTTATAACAATCGGTATATCTTCACAGTTATTTTCATAATGTTTAAGCGCTTTCTGCAAATCTTTGATTTCATTAGACCCGGGCAGATATTGCGGAATTGGTTCATTATATATACGAATATCTTGAAATTTCTCTGTTTGTAAAACCGAATTGGTTAATTTGGCATCGGAAATTTCCGCCTGCTTGGCCTGGCTAGATGAGGCACGCAAAGAGACTTTTAATGCATTTTCAACATTTAATTGAACAGCAGAACGCCTGGCTGAAATCCACAATCGGGGCCACATTTTTAAAATGCTGCCTGTAATATTATAATACCAAAAAATAAGTTTTACTGGAAATTATTCGTCTTGATTATTATCACGTAATCTGTGGAGCAATCACTACACCATATAGAATATATGACTAGCCAATTAAGAATGATATGTATCTACTATTCGCACTATTCTCTTAATCATCCCCAGAAAATTCCTACTATGAAAATACGAACAAAAAGTATTAGACGTTGGCAACACTACGCTAAACAGCTGTCTTGATACTCAGTGCTGTGTAATTATATTTCTAAAATGCGAAATCTACATTTCTTTTGATACATTTGTTATGATTTGCTAGAGGACAGGAGACAGTTGATAAAGGAAAAGATATTTGTGGTGCTAAAATCAATGAAACAATAATATAAATAGTGTATGATTGAATAGAGACGATCAAAGTGTTGATAAYATTCATCAACGGGTTTCTGTGGCATCTTTTATATACATTCATCATCACTGTCATCAGCTGTTCCAAGGTCACATAGTTTTATATTCTATAAAGCTTGGGAAAAATCAATCATACGTTGAGAGATAAAAACAAACCTACGATATACATACATATATATGATTAAAGTTTTTTGCCAAGGCGGKTTATCTAGTTTGGGATGTCACGTGGCATCTAAAGCCGGTCTTTGGTAAATAAAAYATATCGTTAACCAAATAGATGTGACTAAAAGTGACGTACCCGAAAAGCTTTTCCAATATGCGTCTTTCTGCTAATTTGATGAAACCAAAAGCTTCAGAAATCTTAACCGCTTATCTTAAACAATGTAACGAACCACCGTGGACGTCATATTTTGTGAAGGCAAATGGCGCATAAAATAAAAAGTAATTTAACTTACGCACCTATTTGTATGAATTTAGTTCAGGGATGTCGAGAACGATCAGCGTGGTATGTCACACTTTAATTGGACTCTTTATTCTGGAGCAAATTATCATATACTCCGTACAGGATGTTACCCTTATATGAAATATCACTGCAGTAAACGGGCAATTCAAGATCTTTCCATGGAAGATAAGTTTTTCCGATTTTTGAAAGTAATAAATTTGGGTAAATACAATTATTTCAAATTTATTTTATTTMTAGGTATTCTTTTATAAGTATTTATATGACTGCAGGACTGCCAATGTTATTTTATGGGCTTGCTGCGATCCATCTTATATCTCATACGGAACTTGTTCATTTACCAAATGGTGATCGAGTCCCTATATACTTTCTTTACGCAGAAGATAAGGGTTCCATGCACTAATTATGTTACTATATTGAAACAATGTTTTACATAATAAAATGAGTTGAAACTCCATATTTAATGTTCATTTAATTTATTTGTTAAGACTAGTCCTTTTAAATGTAARGGGTATAGAGGTCACTTTCACTTTTTTAAGATGGTTTCCACTACATTTATATAAGAAATTTTAAACTCGTTTTTCTAAATTTTTTTTATTTCCAATTTGCGAAACAAATAAAATTTGCGTAGGAGTACTTAGGAAAATTGGACTCTTCAAATCTTTTTATGACCAGTTTATTAYGAATTTATTGACTAATTTTTCTATTCAAATGATCCGGCAGGCACGATTTTTTAAATAGTCTACAAAATTAACCGACATTTCTCTGTATATAAATGATTATAGCACAAAAACAAAGAAAAAAAAAAAATAATAATAATAACGGACCTGCACATGATTTTATACACTGCTCCTGATTTGTTTTTAGTCATAAGTTTCCTGAAAGGCCTATGAATCCTGTAGAGTAAATTAGGCTAATGTTTGGGTTATTTATTTATAGTCCACCGACCAGTGTGTGAGAAGTACGGACTAAGTTTACATAAATTCTTGAATCCTTCTTGGTGATAACGGTCACCGATGATGTTAGTTGACAAAACTTCAAACCTTTATCCCTTCATAAAATATTTCTCAATTTAGACTTTTACCACGTTTTCTGTTTTCTAGCGTTATGTTGTATGTAAGTATACATATTTTACAAGGTCTCCCACGCTTCTTTCTTATAAACATCGTGGCAAACTTAATATAACCTGTTCAGGGTATAAAAATATATAATATTTTTCTCTATTTAAGAGTCAACAAGATTGTAATAAGTAGTATTTTATTCAAGGTTTAATACATTTAATCCTATTGCATAAATATGTATATGTGGAGTATTAATCAATGAATGCAAGCATGTACAAAATGACTGATTTCAATTAATAATTACAGGAGCGATGAATGGTCAACCGCATCATATTCGTATGTATCTACATACATTTCACAATACAGCTATATACATTATATCATATATTTATGTGTTTTTTAAATTATCTTAATTTATCCATTTAGCTAATTTGCTTCTTTTATATTCGCTTTGCACAAATTGTAAATTTAGTGTAAATGATAAGACACATTTGTGAAAATCAGACAAGTTGAGTTCAATATGTATTAAAATTACGGCTTCATTACTCCTGCTTCTTATTAATTGTAATGATGCCTTGTTGSTCCTCTTTGGTAATATCACTGTCGCCATAGCCCCAAAGTTCGTGTGAACCATCACCAGTACGTTTYACCCGTTTCTCAATGATGTCGGCGGATACCGTCTTCAAATCATAAGCCCAGCCAATTTTAGCGAAGAAATCGATGAAAGCAGTGGTTAAATTCAGAGAATAGTTGCCCCATTCCGCTGTTTTGTAGTCCCATGGGAAGACATGGTGATAGTTGTGCCAACCTTCACCAAATGCAAATGCTGAAACAGATGGGCATTGCGAAGGATTGATGTTTCTATATAGGCAACAATAAAAGTAGAAAACGTAAAGCCCAAGTTAAGTGAGGCCGTAATGCATGGGAATTATATGTAATTGTACACACTTATCATATGGACGACCTCCAAATTTGTGCGCAGCGCTATTCACACACCAAGTGACGTTCAACAAGAAACACCAACGAAACATGGTTGCAACAAACCAGGAATTGATGAATGTCTCATTCCAGAAGTACATGGGTATAACGGTCGGGAGTATAAAGCACGCCAAAGGCATCAGTATATTGTAGTGTCTGATGATATAATATAAAATCAATTGTGTTAAAAATTCTATATATAGTTAATGTTAAGAAATACCGTTAGACTTACTTCAACTGCCACATAAGAATACGATCAGCGTGCAAATCGGTCAAGTCTAAGCTTTTGCCTTTTGCAATAACGTCAGGATGTTTCTTGCATAACAACCAACCGATGTGGGAGAAAAAGAAGCCTCGTGTAGCATTATGGGGATCTGCATCGGTTTCGGAAAACTTGTGATGAACACGGTGGTCACGTGCCCAGTGGAAGGCGGCATCTTGGAAAGCACACGTATTGAAAGCAATCAATATAGCTCTTAAAGGCCATTTAGCCTTGTAAGAGCGGTGAGCCCAAAGGCGATGAGCTCCTGCTGTGATACCCAATACACCAATGGAATAGAGATAGATGGCTGAAAAGTGATATATGATAATAATAATTATAAAAGCAGCAAAAATACAAACATATTTGAATATACGTTTTTAAACGAATAATATGATAGTATTTCCGATTTGTAGAAGCTAATTAGAAATACTTACAGAAAAACACAGTCGGCCACTTCGCCGAAGTAAAGAATAGCCAAGCACCGTAAAGTGCAGCAATGTGCAAATATCCAAAGATTATTATATTTCGCCAAACCAGTTTAAGCTTGCGTTTTTCTGCACGTTTTCGTTGAAGCACATCAATGTTCAAGGCTCCATCAGCCGTGTCAGCATCGTATTCAAACAGAACTCCGGTTTCTTTGGACGCTCCTAAATTGTTTTTGGTTCCATCATTATTTTGTCCCGTTAGGGCATCCAGAGAATTGTGATTTATTGCTGCTGAATTTGGAGGCATGATGAATCTAGAAATATAAATACAAATTTACAAAAGAAAATTTGGAATTAGCCCTAAGCATTCATAGAAAACTGCGGATTATAATGGAACCAGTGGTTTCGTAATCAATTTATTAATTTCATTATTTATTGGAATTCAATTACGGCAAATTATTTTATGTATTACTGTCTGAAATTCAATACAATTTGTTGACTTCCGTTTATGTACCGCTAAAAAAATTCTGTTTTTACATTTACATTTATTCTCATGTAACTAACTAAATGAAAATATTTAGTAACTAAAACTTGTCTAAAACTAAATCTTAACAAGTCCAAAGCACGACGACAAAAACAAATACGACGAACGTACTTTTTTTGTCATTGCTGCTTAAACAGTCATATAATCCACGCGCCGGTAATTATATTGCGCACCGTTTGATCCTCACAATTTTAATTAACCAGTAGAGGACTACATATGTATGTATGTATGTACATGCACTCGTCCATGAACGAACTCAGAGCCGCGCCATACATACTGCGCTTGTTTGCAGGTACATATGTACGTGCATATGTTTGTGTAAGAGTTTATCAACGCCYATCAGATTTGAGTGTAAAGTCTAGGCAACTGTGATCATCGTGTGGTCCAGTGACATTTATTTGACTTTTTATACCCGCGTCTGACAAAGCAAATAATTAAAACYAAAATCACTCCACTGAAATAGCAGTAAATCTGATTCAGATCAAAGGTTGTAATTAGCCGCTTGATTAAGTTCGCACCGATCATTAAGAGGAAGCGTGCTTGGAGTCACTAAACCTGTGAAATTGTGAATCATTCAACACAAAGCCGTGGTTGAAAAGTATTATTATTATAACTAATTAGTCTTCATTATAATTATTCATATAATTACAATAACGCAGCACGTATTTAAATCGTTTTATAGGCGATTTTCTTTAAAATACATACATACATACATATGTAAGAGATTATGTACCATATAAGAATTCGTAGGAATTAGTTTTATTGGAAATGCTCCTCAATTTAAACACAGAGGAATGGAATTTTCATCTCGATCTCATTAGTCAACTCTTATTGGAGAGCTGAACCCTGAGAGCTGAATATTTAGGAGTACTTTTCGCTTTATTCAGGGACTTAAACGAAGTAAACGTGTCTTCCAACTCAATATAACTTACAATTGCGAGTACTTTTACAGTAAATATAACTTCTGATGGACTGATTTGAATAAAATCGTCCGTTTATAAATA